TAACAACAACAACAACAACTGTTGATTGTCTACTTCCGTAATTATACTTCCTCGGAAACCCAAGGAGGGGTCACTATGAGTAGGGTCTGACTCCATGCAGTGAGTTTGGTTTTTTTTTGTTACTGTTGATTGACATTTCAGTTATCTCCATTTTGGGGCTTTTATGCACAATGCTATTCTAAATTTCTTGAATGTGTATAATGGTGCACAGGTGCAAAAGTTTCTCTAATGCAAAGCTCTCATATCTTAGCATTCATCAAAATCACCTGGACAACTTCTTAAAACAGATTGCTGGGCTCCACTCCCAGGGTTTCTGACTCAGTAGGTCTGTGTTGAGGCCTGAGAATTTTCATTTTTAACAAGTTCCCAGGTGCTGCTGCTGCCATTGCTCTAAGAACCACTGCTCTAAGAGTTCCTGGGTGGGCAGATGGCTAAACGCTTGACTACTAGCCACAAGGTTAGTGGTTGGAACTCCTGATACACGTCTCCACTCAAGGGAAAACAACAACTACTTAGGATAGTGGTCAGCACACTTTCTCTGTAAAGGGCCAGATGGTAAATATTTAGGTTTTGAGAACCACAAATGCTCTCTGTTGCATATTTTCCTTTTATGTATGTACTCCTTAAAAATGGCTTAGCTCTAGGGCTATAAAAAACAATCCTTAAGCCTAATAACATGTTTAATTCTTCTGTTCTCCTGGCTAGTTTATTGTGCAGTGCCTGGGGTCTTAAAAATTGTAAGCAGCCACCCAAGGCACACCGGTTGGTCTCTATTCACCTGGAGCCACAGAGGAAGAAGGAATCAGGAATAGGAGGAGGATATGGAATGTGTGATTAATTGCCTCCATGAACAACTCCCTGCTTTGCCATGAAACCAGAACTGGATGGTGCCTAGCTACTCTTACTCCACAATAGTCAATTCTCCTCCCAGCAGCCAGATCCTTTACAACTACAAATGAGATGACATGCTCAAAAACGTTCAAAGGCAACACAAAAAAATCCCAGATCTTTACTATGATCTACAGCCTTACCTGATCTCTATATTTTACCACTCCACCTCTTTTTTTTTAAAGCACTTTTTCTATCTTACCACCCCAGCTCTTCCTTGAATACTCTGATCACATTACTACCCCCAAAGACTTAGATGTGAACATTCATCACAAGCCTGTGAAAATCAAAGGCGATTCCATCTGCTGATGCCCCTCAGTACGCTCATGAAATATCTCACTCAAACATTCTAAAGGTGAGTTAGATATGATTTTTCCTTCTATAAAATCAACCATCCATAGAATTTCAGTTAACTTATTGCTGTGAGCCGCCAAAATTAACGTAGTAGTTCTCAAACAGTCATTACCCTATCTAAGCTGTATTCTGTGTTTATTTTGTATTCTCTATATATTATATGGGAGCTCTGGTAGCATAGTGGCTAAGGCACTTGACTGCTAACCAGAAGGCTGGCGGTTCAAACCCACCAGCCACTCCTCGGAAGGAAGGTTGGGCAATCCTACTTCCGTAGTGATACTACCTCAGAAACCCAAGGAGGGGTCACTGAGTCAGGGCTGACTCGACGGCACATAACAACAACAACAACATATATTATATATTAGGAATCCCTGGATGGCACAGATGGTTAAGTACTGGACCACTAGCCAAAAGGTTGGTAGTTCAAACCCACCCAGAGGAGCCCTGGAATACAGGCCCGGTGAGCTGATTACAAAACGTCACACAGCCTTGAAAATCCTATGGAGCAGTTCTACTCTGCATATGTGGTCATCATGCCTTGGAATCAACTCACCAGCAATTAACAACAACAACAATACATAGTTCCCAAGTTCTGTTCTAGAGTATTTTTTGTTTTACTAAATAGAAATCAGATGGCTACAGCAGGTTGTCTGGCAGAACATCTACTTAATAATACCATAGAGGATTCTTTAACTCTTTCATGACCCATGGGACATATAGTGCCCACCTACATTTTCCATCTCTGGGGTTTAGTGGGAAATTGTTATCTCACTTTTAGAGTATGCTGCTACCTGGCGAGGCTCTGTATTTCTGTGAATCCGAAGGAAAAGACCTCATCCCATCAACTCCAGCACCAGAGACCCCTTGAGATATATGTGTACAGCTAACTGTAACAAAACTAATACTACCTCAGAGTAATTTTTTTTTTTTCATTTCATTCAAAACACATGGTTTCAACAAAAATTCAAAGCGGGAAATAATTCAGTCTTGAAAAAGTTAAAATCCTGGATTCATTCATTCACTACCACTGATTGTCAATGTATCAAGCAGAGTACTAGACTCAGGATGAGGCAAAAAAGATTGTAAATAGTGTCCTTATGGATTGGGAGAGGAAAAGTAGATGCAGGAGAAAGAGAGAGAAATAGAAAAAGGAAGAATGACACTGAAAAAGAGGGAGAGTAAAAGACAGTAGAGAGACAATTACTATGGTAGAATGAAACACAACTTCACAAAAAGGCACGTGAAATGATAACTTATTTTAAATTTTCTTCTGACATGATGTCCCTTTACCTCTAAACACTTAAGTGTGTATTTATTAAAAGACAAGGCTATTATCTTACCTAACCACAAAACAATGATAAAAATCAAGAAATTAACATTGACAAAATAGTACAATTTAATTTACAGATAATCAAATTTCATAACTTGTCTAATTAATGTGTTTTATAGTAAAAGGGAAAAAAACTGCCTTCTGGTCCTCAAGTCAATTCATAATTACAAACTACATTTAATTATCATGTGACTTTAGTCTACTGTAGTC